AGGAAGAATTTCTTTGCAGAGAGGGTGCTCAGCCATTGGAATGGGCTGCCCAGGGAAGGGGGGGATTCTCCATCCCTGGAGGTTTTTCAGCAGAGACTGGATGTGGCATCAGTGCCATGGGCTGGGAACCACGGTGGGGTTGGATCAAGGGTTGGACTGGATGATCTCAGAGGTCCCTTCCAACCCAGCTGATTCTGGGATTCTGTCTAATGGAAAATGCATTTCCCAGCCTGGGGACCTTGGGAGCAGCAGCTTCCATCTGGTGGCTCCTGCAGCTGGCAGGGGGAGCCTTTGAAGTTAAGCAGCTGTGAGAGCTGTGTGGGTTTGGGTTGAGGCAGAGTGGCCTTGGCTTGATTTTGGTTTTAATGGAGGCAGTAATGGCACTGCCACAACAATTATGTGTCCTTGCCCCCTGAGGGACTTGGGACTGATGCAGGTGATAATGGTCTGGTTTAGGAACAAGAGGGTCTTTAAGGCCCTTCCAACCCAAACCTTCCTGGGATTCTTTAATAAGGGCAGAGCCAGCATTGCCTCAGGTGAACTGAACTTACACCCCCTCTCCCTCCTCCTCCAGCACCTTTTTTTCCTCTTTCCTCCTGTATTTTCCCCTAATTTTCCCATAGTGGTAAAATAAAAGGCATGTTACTCACCATGGCTTCCTCCAGATCCCTGAGCCTGGAATGCTGGGATGATCCAGGGCACTCAGAGTGCTGCACCTCCCCTAATTTCTCCATTTCCTTTGCCATCTGGATTGGGAAGTGACACAGCCTTCAGGAGAGGAGATTTTGCTGCCAAAGCAGCTCTTCCCCAGTTACAGATGAAGATGAAACTGTTCCACTGCACCACTAAAATTCACCTTTTTCCCCATGGGCTCCAGCAGCTGAAAACCAGGATGCTGGAAGTGCTGCTGGGAGGGGCTGGACGTGAAGTGTTGGGAAGGATGGGAAAACCACTGGTGGACAGAACCTTCCACAGGTGCTTTGTTATTTAATTCCTGACCATCCACCACGGGGCAGTTGGCAAAATTTTAAGGGAGGTGGGTGAATGTCCCTGTAAAACAGCCCATCAGAATATTGGCTGGAAATTAGGGAGAGGATGAAACCAGGTTTAACCTGGACCTCCAGCCTCCATCTCTGCCTTGCAGGTGGCTGCCCAGGGGCTTTGGTTGCTGCTCTTTGTGCCAGGCTGTTAAATACCAATTATTTTCCAATTACTGCTTAAAAACCTGTGTGTGTTTCTACACAAATGGGTGTCTAGGGCAAGGAGACAGGTTTTAAGGGAAGGAGACAGGAAGGATACAGGTCTCCAGGGCAGCCTGTGGCACCATCTCTTCCTGGCTGCATGTTTTGCAGGTCAGGGTTGTTCCCCAGCCTAAAACCCACCTCTTGGAATGAGCCCACCAGGTCCTCAGTGCTCCTCTTCCCTCCTGGCTGCAGCCCAAAGGACCAGTGCTGAGCCAAGCAAATCCCCACGGACAGCACCACCAGCAGGACACTGGCAAAGATCTTCCTGGACTTCTCCATCCTGGGAGAGAGGAAAAAAAAGCATCTTTTTTATCATCAGGGCATTCCAGCTGCGTTTTTACCTTGGAGAGTGATGAAAAAGCTGCATTTCTGGATCACAGGCTCGTGGAATGTCCTGATGAGATGGAAGGGACCCACAAGGATCATCAAGTCCCCCCCAAGAATCCCCCCCTGTGCCTGTGCTCTGCAGTTCTGAGCTGCACCTCGTGCCTGGGCCTGAGCCACAGCTGCCTTGGGAGCCTCTCAAAGTGGGGATTAACTCCCTATAAAAGGGCTTTGACATCTGAGGAATTTGGATGGAGATCTGAACTAGGATTCTGGAGCAGCCTCTCAGAGTTTGAGGCATGTCTGGACCTCCCAGGTCCCGTGCAGGTCCCTGTAGGGTTTGGGCAGATGTGTTCAGTTCCTGCTCTGATGTCCCTGCTCCTCCAGAACTGCTCTTTGCAGTCTCTTCTGATCTGAGTTTCTTCTCCTGTGAGCTTCTGTGAGCACTGAATAAGTAAAAAGGGAAGATGGGATGTTGTTCAAGCACGTTACCTGCTGCCTGAGAGGGGTTGCAGAGGAACTCCAACTCTTCCTGGATGGAAAACGTCCTGTGACTGTGGCTGCCACCTCCCTTTTATACACCAACCCCCTCCCAGCAGGTGACTTCATCTCATTCTGCCTCCCAGGCTGCAATTTTGGTGTTAAAATGACTGTGATGCAGCCCAGGTAAAGCCCATAATTGGAGCACCCCCGTGTAGCTGTTAAATTCAGCTGTTTTCTCTGAGAGCCATAAAAGTAACAGCCTGGCTTTTAAGAGCTTGTAAATGTGACATTCAGGCCCAGCTGACTGCTGGGAAATGCAGGAGCTGTCCTGTCAGTGGTTTCTGATTCCTAAGGAGAAGATTTTGGGTGAGTTTGTGTTTGGTGAGGACTCGGGATGGGCGAGGAATTCGGTCTGTGAGAATCACAGGGTGGTTTGGGTTGGAAGGGATGTTAAAACTCACCCAGTGCCACCCCCCTGACATGGGCAGGGACATTTTCCACCAGCCCAGGTTGCTCCAACCTGGCCTTGGGCACTTCCAGGGATGGGGGATCCAAAAGCTGAGACACATCTGAAGGGAACAGCCCTTGGGTGCCTGAGCAGGAGCCTGGGATGGCACAAGTGGACAGAGCAGCTGGAGAGCTCCTTGGAAATCCTCCTCCTCCAAGTTCCAGTTGAGGTGCCTGGATGTTCTTTGCTCTGTAAAATGCAAATTGGTGTCCAAGTGATCCAGTGGAGGAGTCCTTTGGATTGTAAATGTGCTTTGCTGGCACAAAGGAGGCTCTGTTGGGAACAGGACTCCAAAGTGCTTCTTACAAGGGTGGAGGGACAGGACACAGGGAATGGCTTCCCACTGCCAGAGGGCAGGGTTAGATGGGATATTGGGAAGGAATTCTTCCCTGGGAGGGTGGGGAGGGGCTGGGATGGAATTCCCAGAGGAGCTGTGGCTGCCCCCGATCCCTGGAAGTGTCCAAGGGCAGGTTGGAGCAACCTGGGCTGGTGGAAGGTGTCCCTGCCCATGGCAGGGGGTGAAATGAGAAGACCTTTAAGGCCCTTCCAACCCAAACCACTCCTGTTCTCCATTCCTTGGAGTTTGTGCAGGTTTCTGAAGCAGCCAAGAGCTCTTTGCATGCAGGAGTTCAAGTCAGTAATTTTGGCTGCAGGAATGGGATTGTTTGGGGGGTTTTTTGTTTTATTTTTTACCCACCTGGCAGCCCTTCTGCCTTGCTCTGAACTGTCCTGGTGCCATTTGACTGTCTCATGTTCCCTGTTCTCCAAACATCATCCCCTGTTCCAGCTCCTGTGACCTCTCAGAGCTTTTTAAAGGGATTAAAAGTAATTTAATGAGTAAATAATTGAAGGAGGATTTAGTGACTCTTTCTTAAGAGTAATTTTTCCTGCTCTAATGCTCCTCCTACTCATGGCCAGAGCAGCCAACGTTGAACTCCAGCTGATAAAAATGGATCAAGCTGTGAAAATAGTTGGTTTCCAGTGGGAGAAATTGTTCCTCTGCCGTGGGCACGGGGGGGGTTTTCCTGGGAGGCTTTGGAGGCTCCTTCCTTCCCTGGTGAGCCTTGCAAAAATTAAGGTTATTTAGAGGTAAATAGGAGATTTTGGTGATCCTGAGGGATGGCATTTAAAGAGAGAGAAGGGACCCCTGCTTGATAAGCCCCTTAAAGGATGTTAAAAATAAGATCCCAGCTGGGTTTTGTTTGCCCACAGAACCTTTTACAGCCCCAGGCAGTGGAAAACACCAAACTGCTCAGATTTGGGGTGATGGAGACGTTTCAGAAGAGCTGCCAGAGCTCCAAGTTGCAGCAGTTTCTCTGCTTTGGGGAGGGAAATCTTCCTGCCAGTCCTGTTTGGTACTGACGTGGAAGTCAAGGAATTGTCCAGGGCCTAAAGGGGCTCCAGGAGAGCTGGAGAGGGACTTGGGATGGAGGGACAATGGGGAATGACTTCTGCCTCTTGGGATGGAGGGACAATGGGGAATGACTTCTGCCTCCAACTATTTTATCAAGCAAAGAGGAAAGGTGGGGACAAAAAAGCTGAAAAGTATTAGGAATTAATTATTGACAAATCAACACAAACCCTCGTGAAAATTCCCTAAATTAATGTATCAGAACCACTGCAGCAACCCCCACAAGCTACATTTGGGTTTTTTCCAGCAGGTAAGGTTTATGCTTCGACCCAAAATTCTGGCTGTCAGGTAAGATTGGGGTGGTTTATTTAAATGAAGACGACCAAGACATTTTTCTCTTTCACACTTTTATTAATGCAACTTAAATTAGGCTGGAATTTCTGCACAGGCCACTTTGGGCTCCTCATCCAGCTCTGTGATAGCAAAAGAGGTACCTTGAATTCAGCTGTGAATGATGATGCCACGTGCTGTGATTATTCAACAGTGCTCCAGTGAAAGTTCAAATAGATTTTTATACACAGTGATTATGAAAATAGAGTATTTTTCCCCCCCATACAATATTTTACTTCTGCCAGCTACAAAATATGATAAAGAAAAATAATTCATTTATTTCTCTAGCCCTAGGAATCTTCTCCTACTGCAACACACACATCACTCCCCACTGAAAGCCTTGAGGTGGGAGAAAGGACTCCAAAATCACACTGGAATATTTCCCTTCAATCTATAGGTCACTTCACCAAGGATCTGGTGGTGTCCTAGAGCCTGATCCAGAGGGATCTGGAGGAAATAATCCCAATTCTGAACCACATGAGCCCGGGATTTTGAGTCCTGGATGTTCATGTCACACGCCTGAGTCGAGCCAACTTGAAAATAAGGGAGAATCCTGCAATTCCCCCCCCCCAAACCCAATCATATCCTGATCCAGAATAATCACTGATCTTCCCAGATTGGTGGCAAAGCAGCATTTTTGGAACAAACAAACTGAGACAAGAAGCCTGGAGGACAGGAAATTGCACTGCAAAGTGAGACACAACCCACTGAGGAACTGTGGAACTCCAACTCCTGGGACACTCCAACCACCCTCCAAGTTTTGGGATCCACTGGTTCTTCCTGTGTATTTGTACTGTAACAGCTGTATTTCCTTAGGATTCAAGGTGAGTCTGAACTTTGGGGTGGTTTAAGCATCTGAGGTAAGTTCTTGCTGCACCTTTTTTCTATTTTTTTTGGTATAGTTTCTTCGTGTGCTTTTTGATTGTGTCTAAAAAGAAATGTTAGCTGAGAAAACTACCCAGATCCTGCAGCTCCTTTGCTGAGGGGCAGCCCCACAGGAAGGGAGGCTCACACAAAAAACAGCTTCCCCTGCTTTTTTCCACAGGTAAAGGAAGTGTGGAAGGGGCACTTGGCCCCAGGCAAGATGCTTTTACAGCCACTTTAGGCAGCCCAAAGTGGATCTGGCTGGGAAATGGGATTATGCCCATGCTTTCAAGGAGGATTTGCATAGTACATTGAGGGGAAACAGGGCCATTTCTTCATCTCCTGAAGGGATGAGAGGAGGGGAGAGCAGGTGCTGTGGCCCCAGAGCTTCTCTCTGCTTTGGGGACACTTCTGTGTTTGTCTCTGTACGTTGAATTCCCAACAAAGAAGGAAAAAGCTACAGGAACTCCAGTCTGGAGTGGCCAGGACATGTGGAATCAGGGGAGTTTTTCTTCCCAGCTGGGATTGATAGTGCAATTCCACACTCATTTGGAGAGGATTAACTAAGACAGCCCATTTCTGCCCAGGGATCTCCTAGGGGGAACTCAATCCAGGCTGTGGGCAGGTCCCTGCAGGGGCAGCAGCTTCCTCTGCACATTTGAGGGGATAAAGCTGCTCTAACCCTGCACTCCAACTCCACAGCAATTTAGGACCTCTGAGGACAGTTCCCCACTGTTTCCACCCCAGCAGAGACCTGAACACATCCTGTGGGCACTGTGTGACCACCCCTGGCATTAACACCCTGCAGGAATGAAGACACTGACTGTAAATACACTTGTCTACCTGTAAACCTGAACTTTGTTTGCTACTATACAGGAATAACATTTTCTATTCATATTGCAGCTACAGATTTAATAAATAGAATTGCATATATTGTGCTTTATAAATTAAAATGCATTCCAAAGTGAGGCAATGCTAAACAATGAAAGTCTTGAACCCTCCCCCCCAAACCAGCCCCACTTTCTGCTTTCAGAACCAGCCCACTTCCTCACTCTCTTCACAAAGGAAGAAACTCTCTGTTTCCACCTCTGAAACAAAAATTCCCTCCCCAAAAGTGATCAAAGAGAGCCTACTTAGGCACTACTGCAAATGGAAGTTGTCTAATAACCATTACTTCTAACTCAGGAAGGGGAGGAGGTGAAGAAAGTCACGACAGATGTTTGGATTCCTTCCTCTCTGACGTGTTCTCTTCCCTATCTGACGCTCTGGGACATGTGCAGGGGGGTCAGCATCTCTTCAAAGATGGCTCCTTTCACGTTAGAGCCCCTCAAATTGGCTTCCTGGAGGTCACAACCTGATAGGTCACAATTCTGAAGGGGAAAAGAAAAAGAAGTGTCAATGGAATGCACCCAGAACTCTGTTCAGAGCTTTACTTGAAGTCCATTTACCTGAACTCCATTGTAGTCTGAAGCTGGAGAGCTCAGCCAAAAGCCAGCAATCCCCCAAATTACCAGCTGACTGTAGGATCTAAAGGAATAGGATGTAAAATGAACCCTAACTCACTTCCAAATCAGTTCCTGCCAACGTTGCTCCCCTGAGGTTACAGTTCTTTAGTTTGGCGTTTTTCAGCGTCGCGACTCGGAGGTTAATTCCTGTCATCTGACTGCCCTCCATGTCCACTCCTTTCAGGTTGGCACCTGGAACACACACACAAAGGGGTTCTGGGAGGAAAAACGGGCAGAGACACAGCAGCTGCACACTGGTGCTGCCTCAGAGCTGTGTGAATTGGAGGAGAAGGGAATTCAGTGCTGGGATGGTCACAGACTCGGCCCAGCCCTTGCGGGCCCTTCTCAGGGTTGGACAAACCACAGCTGGACCTTTTCTGGGCCATAAAAATGCACAAACACAGGCTGCAGTTGGCACAGATTCACAGGGCAAAACCTTCTTACCTTCCAGATTAGCTTTAAGGCCTGATGGGTCCTCAAAGTTGCAGCCTTTCAGGGACGCTCCCTCCGCGTTGGAGCACAGCATCTTCACCCCTTGGAGGTTGGCACACTGGCACAGACAGGAGGCAGTGAGAGCCAGAAGAATAACACCAAAACCAATCAAAATACAGGTTTAATTTCTGGTCTGGGAGTGAATCCCATTAAACCATCACTGAGAAGAAGTATAAAAGCTTTGGGAACCAGAACAACTCTAGAGTATATTTAAGAACTCGATGTTTTACACCGCTCTCTTTGTTCCAGCTCCTCTCTGGTAAGACAAGCCCAGCCCTCCCAAGCTGCAGCAGCTCTTACATCCAGCACAGAGCCTGACAGGTCAGCCCTCTCCAGGTTGGCACAGCACAGGTTGGCATGGGCCAGGTTGCAGCGGCTCAGATTGGCCATCTTGAAGTTGATGTAGCGAAGATCCAGGCGGGAAAGATCCGCTCCACTGAAATTCAGGCCCTGGGAATCCCAAGGAATAAACCCCCCAGAAAGGTTACAGAAGGGAAGGGGTAAGTCAGGACACACAGTTAAGATAATTGTGTAGATATGTGTGCATTAATATTTACAGTGTATAAATATCTGTGTGTAAATATATGGGTATGAATGTATTAAAATATATGCTGTAAATAATTATACACAGATACAAGATAGATACAGACACACACAGGTCCTGGGAAGAGCTGAAGACACCCCATCAGGGAAGGGGGCTTATAAAAAGGAGGGGGAGGGACTTTTTATATGGGCCTGGAGGGACAGGACAAGGGGAAATGGTTTTTAAACTGAAAGAGGGCAGGGTTAGATGGGATATTGGAAAGAAATCCTTCCCTGGGAGGGTGGGGAGGGGCAGGGATGGAATTCCCACAGAAGCTGTGGCTGCCCCTGAATCCCTGCAAGTGTCCAAGGCCAGGTTGGAACAACCTGGGCTAGTGGAAGGTGTCCCTGCCCATGGCAGGGGGTGGAATGAGAAGACCTTTAAGGTCCCTTCCAACTCAAACCATTCCAGGATTCTATACAGATAAATACACACAAGACCATTTATTCTATGAAATCTAAATGCAAAGCTCTCAAAAATTGTCCTGGGTTTATTTTACATTTAAACAAATTGCCCCTCCAGGAAAGCTTCCCCCTAAAGCAGGAATGCAGCCCAAACCACCCTGGAATTCCAAGCCAAGGTCACTGTGCCACAGCTCAGAGTCAAAACTCAGCTAAAGAGAACACAGTGTCTGCATTTCACGTTGCCACATTCCAGCACCAGACACCAGCACTCCAGAGAGGGACAGCACAAGGGGAAGTGGTTTTAAGCTAAAAGAGGGAGGTTTAGGTGAGATGTGGGGAAGAAATTCCTAGGATTTTTGTCAGGAAGAGGAATGTGTTCTCACCTGACAGCGCAGCTCGGACTTGGTGGGTGTTGCCAGCAGGAACCAGACAAACTCCTTCTGAGATGGGAGAGTGATCCTCAGCTGGCTGGGAATTCTGTTGGGAATGTTGTTCAACAGCTGACACAGACGGCACGAAATTACACATCCCCTGCAAGAGCAGGGCAGGTGCATTCAGGTCTCCAAACAAATTCCCTTCAGGGCTATTTCCAGGTGTCCAATAAGTGAATCAATACCAAAAAACCTGGATTCCTGCAGGACACCTGGAAACAAAGAGTTTGTTATTTCCAGGGAACTGTGAATCCAGAAATCACCCTTCTCCCTACTGGAGAACAACCACAGACATTGTATTAGATGTAACTGGGCAGAGGGAAAGCTTGCTTGCAGCTAAAAGGAAAAAAAAAAATCACTCAGCCAGGATGTTTGCAACACCAGCATTGGGTTAAAGGTATCAGCTCCAGAATTCCAGCCAGACATGAATCCAGGATGGAAAACTTTTAATGCTCCCAAGATAAACAAACAGCCTGTCTTCATTAAATCAAGCAATCTTCATTAAATGAAGTGATCTTCACTAAATCAAGCAACACCTTCATTAAATGAAGCAACGTGGAGCTGCAACGCCCGAGAATAAATCCCGAGGAAATTAAAACTCCAAAGAAAACCACGGAGATGAGCACACAAAGGTCCCTCTGGCTTCACCTGGAGGGCAAAGCTTAACTCCCAAAGAGGAATAATTCAGATGTCAGACAGGTAATACCTACCTAGCAAATTAATGCCATCATTTACAATGAGCTGTCCGTGACGTAAATAGTTCAAAATGGGCTCAAAATACTCAGGACTGCGGTCAATTAGGAATGCTCCTCTATGATCCTGCTTGTTCCCCCAAGCATCTGTTTCCACAACATATATATATATAGATCATTAAATTGGATATATTACTATATAGATTTAAATTTGATATATTAAGAGAAGAGCATTTGCTTGGCTTGCAGAGTTTTATTACCAAAGGCGGCGGGATGTGAAAATGCCACGTGTGAAAGGGTGGTTTGCAAAAGGAAAGGAGGAGTAAGGGGGGAAAAATCACCTTAAAATGAACTTGTTGCTGCTCTAAATAACTAAAATATTTTGTCAAATGCATAAGAATAAAAGCAGCACTAAGGTTTGTGTCTGACTGTCTCCCAAAGGCAGGGTTTGCTCATGGATTCTCCTGACGAAACCGAGCAACAATAACATGAAAACCTAAAATCAAACAGACAAACAAACAAACAAAAAAGGACCCAAAACACTAACTGTGGGTGGGAGTTGTATTTTCACTTTGTGAGATGATAAATTTTAGGTGGGCAACAGAGAAATAAAGAATTATGAAAAGAATAATTCTACGTTCTGCTTTGGTACTTTTAACATATTTTTGATATTTTAGATTCTCAGCTTGACAGTGCCTTGTGCCTACTTTGCTAATTTATTACTTGACAAAAAACAAAGTTTATTTCAGTGTACTCACCTTTATCTTTAAACATGTGGGCCAACATGCTGTCAGGTTCTTTGTTAACCAAAGTGCTCCTAGAAAACAAAGGCATTGCAATTCCCTTTTTACCTCATACACAAAGCGTTTAAGAATTGAATTCTTGCCAAATCGTGCTGGTGACCACAAAACACAAAGTGGCAGAAGTCAAAGACCTCCTATTTCATAAGAAGTTATTTTCCAAGCTCTTTTGCTGCATTGAAATCGAGTTTTTTTTGAGACTAAAAGCATTTTTACCTTGTAGTGGTGAAGTATCTGCCTCCCACATTGAGTGTCAGCCAGTCTGTGTGGGACCCTGTCAGCTCCTCCTGAGCTCTCCCATCAGTCTGAGGATCTACAGGTTAAAAGACACCTTAGCAATTCTTTATTTATACTAATTTTTATAACAATTAATAATATGTAATTAATATAACATTAATATGATATGCCTATAATAAGTTATTACGACACATTAGTAGTTATTAGAGAAACTGTGACTATTTCTTAATCCATTCCCTATGGTGTCTTCTGAAAACAGCAGCAAATAAAATCTTGGGTTTATATGGAAGCAAAATAAAACCTCTTTCTGTTAAACACAAGGGTTTATATATTTTTTTCTGTATTTTATATAGACTTACCAATGAAGGGCTCCCCTTCACAGACAAACAAAACATCATCATCCCTGAGAGAGGAGAGCAGAGGAGAGGGCAGGGGGGAGAGGAGGAGAAAAAGAAGATTAATCATCATTTCTTGTTCATCTCATTGACAGGGAAACCCCTCCTGGCCACTTTCAGGTGAATTATAACCAGTTGCCATGAAGTGGAACTTCAGGATCTGGTTTTTGTCTGAATTTTGCAGGTTCCAGTGGATTGGGCTGGACTGACTTCACCAGGGGTTTATCTGCAGTGACCAGGTAGGGCCCATTTCTGTCACTCAACTGATTTTTACAAAATAGTTGCTTTTCTCCCCAGTCTGGGGCTATTCTGTGATGCCAAAGCAATGACAGGAGTGGTCTCCTCTTCCAAAAAATCCCCATGCAAGGGCTGAGTGGAACAGTGGGATTTCCTGGTGAACACATTGCCCTGGAATCAACATGGGGGGGTTCAAAGGCCTCCAACACAGTTTGGGTCAAGTTGTGATTAAACAACAGAGAAATGCTCTGAAGTTCAAAAGCCAGGATTATTTTTTAATGGAGGGATGAAAGGCCCCTTGGGCTGGAAATCAGAATATCTGGTTACTGATTAAGGAGGATTAACAGGCTGCTCTCTTAATCCCCCCCCAATTTGTCTTTTATTGGCTCATCCTTACCTGATCAAAGCAATGTCATCAATGAGTCCCCCTTTGCCATTGTAAACACTGGTGGCTTTGATTCCAAGCTTGTTACTGGCCACAGAGAGCAAATCTGAGAGGGTCCCATACACAGCCACCACCTGGGGAGACATGGGGGGGATAAAATCAACTGCAGGGATATCAAGATGGCTTATAGATCAATATAGCTTATAGATCAATATACCTTAATATATCTTGTGCATCAATATATCTTATGGATCAATATAACTTATATATCAATATCTCTTATATATCAATATAACTTATATATCAATATCTCTTATTTACCAATATCTCTTATTTACCAATATCTCCTATTTACCAATATCTCCTATATATCAATATAACTTATATATCAATATCTCTTATTTACCAATATCTCTTATTTACCAGTATCTCTTATATATTAATATAACTTATATATCAATATATCTTATATATCAATATCTCTTATTTACCAATATCTCTTAGTTACCAATATAACTTATTTACCAATATAACTTATATATCAATATCTCTTATTTAGCAATATCTTTTATTTACCAATATCTCTCAGATACCAATATATCTTAATATATTTTACATACCAATATACCTTATACCAATATATCTTGTATCAATATATCTTATATACCAATAGATTTTAATATATCTTATATACCAATATATCTTGTATCAATATATCTTATATACCAATAGATTTTAATATATCTTATATACCAATAGATCTTATATAGTAATATATCTTATATACCAGTATATCTTTTATCTCAATATAAGGTATATATCTTATATGTCAATATATCTTAAAGTATCTTACATATCAATACATGTTATATACCAATATATGTTATATACTAAAATATCTTACAGGGAGAGGGAAATACATGTGGATTTTGACTAAAAACCAAGCAAATAGACCAATTCTGATGGTAGAAAACTGCCTAAAAATGGGGTGACTTGCACAGCTCCAGCAGCAGTGAAAGGAATGCTGAATAAGAATATGATGATTCAGATTTTTATTCCTCTAGAGAAATATTGCTGCTTTTTCTGTTCCAAGCCTCTCCCAAGTGTATTCCCCTCCCTAAAACCAAAGACTGAATTGCAGTCACATTGTCTGCCCTCGGGATGGAAAAAGGAGGATCATGGATACATTTAGAACTGCAAAAAATTAAGGTACAGTCACATGAAGTGTCTTCAGAGCCTGGGCATGGGAAAATCAGGCTCATGGATAACATTTAATAGAAATACACCATTAAAGTACAGTCACATTAAGTGTTTTAGTCCAGACCTATAGATGGAAAAATGAGGGTCAAGGCCAGCATTCAGAACTGCAAGGTTCAAATACAGCCACAGTAACTTCTGCACTTGAAGAGTGGAGGGAAAAATCAGGATCATGAATGGCATTTACCAGAAATACAGGGTTAAAGAACAGTCACATCAATTGTCTGCGGATGGAATATCAGGATCGTGGATAACATTTATAGAATTAGTCACATTAACTCTCTGTGGATGGGAAAAATCAGGATTATGGATACCATTTAATAGAAATACAGCATTAAAGCACAATCACAGTAACGGTCTGTGGATGGGGAAATATGGGATGGATTATGGACAACATTTAACAGAACTACAGCATTAAAGTGCAGTCACATCAACTCCTGCACTCAGAGTGTGAGTGGAAACATCGAGATCACGGCTTATATTTAGAACCGCATCACCGGGCCTTTCTGGAAGGGCCCAGAAATCAACTTTTTCCACCCCTGAGAGGACCCCAGGGAGGTTTTAAACGATTTAGTGCCATTATTCCCGGGGGCCCCACACAGGGTCACCCCACCCCCAGAGCGCTACTCCCGCAGGCTGCGACTGACGGGACGCGACTCAGCAAGGCCCCGGAGCGTCTCTAACACCGACTCCCGTCTTAAACCCTTTGGGTTTCCCTCAGGACCCTCCCTCAGCGCGGACCAGGCCTGGCAGCCAACGGAGCGCATGGCCGGCAACCCCCGCGGGCCGGCACGCCCTGAGGGGCCCGGACCCTCTGATTTCGGCTCCCCTCGATGCAGGACCCCCCCGTCCGCTGCCCCTTAAGCCTGACCTTGCCGTTGCGGGCGCTGCCGTTCACGAACAGCGTCACCCGCCTCATGCTGCGCCCGCCGCGCCGGGGCCGCCACAACACCCGGAAGCGCCGCGCGATGACTGACACCACCCGCGGCCAATCACCGCCGCGCTGCAACCAAATCTATCCAATCACCGCCGCGCCTCTGCCGGAGAGGCGGGACAAAGCAGCCTTATTTGCATAAAACGTGGCTTAGCGCCTGTGATTGGTCGCCGCGCGTCACGTGGGCGCGGCCCGTTGAATGAATTTATTGAATGTATTATTCCGCCCCTCCCCTTGAGCGGTGCTTCGACTCAACGGCCCG